GCGTGACCAAAACTGGGGCTGAGGAGAGATACGCTTTTAAGTTCGTCAGTGCACGGTCGCACTTTTCATCCCAGAAGAACTTGGACTTCAGAGTTTTGAAGAAGGGCCTGCAACGATCCGAAGACCGGCTGATGAATCTGTTCAGCGCAGCTGCTATCCCGGCAAGATGTTGTACGTCATTTGTAGAATCCAAGCGCTCCAACTCTTGTATCGCTTTGATCTGGGATGGGTCGGCTTCAATCCCTCGGTTTGTAACCAGAAAACCCAGAAACTTTCCAGTGCCAACTCCGAAGGCGCATTTGGAGGCGTTCAGACGAAGCTTATGGCGCTTAAGTATGGCGAACATTTCTGCTAGGTCGGTGAGGTGTTCAGACTTCTCCTTACTCTTTACCACCATATCCTCGATGTAGGCCTCCATTGTTCGGCCCAAGAGAGGAGCGAACATTTTTGTAACCATCCGCTGAAAGGTTGCCTCGGCGTTCTTTAGTCCGAACGGCATGACTTTGTAACAATATAATCCTCTGGGGGTGGTGAACAACGTAATCTCTCTGTCCGGTTTATATGTGGCTATCTGGTGGTAGCCGCGATAAGCGTCCAGGAAGCTAAACCTCTGATGGCCAGCGGTCAAGTCCACCAGCTGGTCAATCCGAGGAAGGGGAAAGCTATCCTTAGGACAAGCCCGGTTGACAGTCTTGTAGTCAACGCAGACTCGCCACTTGCCATTTTTCTTGGGAACAACCACTGTGTTGGATATCCACCGAGGGTATTGCACTTCTTCTATAGCCCCGGCTTCTAACAAGTTCTTCACTTATTCCGCCACTACTTCAGCATGGTGCAGGGTTGAACTACGCGTCCTTTGAATGACTGTCCGTGCGTTGGGGAAAACATTCAACTGATGACAGATGAAGCTCGGGTCGACGCCAGGCATGTCGTAAGGTGTCCAGGCAAAGGCCTCCAAATTAGAAACCAAGAAGTTGACATAATCCGCTTGCTCGGCGCTAGACAAAGATGATCCCAAGAGGAAGAATTTAGTTGGATCATTTTCGTCAAAGCGCACTTCCACCAAATCTTCGACCGATTTTTCCTCGGCCTTCCTTCCCACGTCTTCAAGGACCTCTTTTTCCTTGGGCCCCTCGATCATTTGGACAAACCCTTTGGCTGCTCGGCTGCCATTTACCGCAACGAAGCATTGTTTTGCCATCACTTGGTCTCCCCAAACTTCCTCTATTTGCCTGCTCGACGCCGGAAAGCGCATGACTTGGTGGAAGATCGAGGCAACCGCTTGCATGGCGTGCAGCCAGCCCCTACCTAAGATCAAGTTGTAGGTGGATGGAACTTTGAGCACCCAGAACTCCACTTGCTTTACTACTGAACCCGCTTTCATCGGCAAAATAATCTTCCCGATTGGCCACTCCGGCTGTGAGTTGAAGCCAACCAAAGGAGACGTCGCAGGGGCCAAGTCCTTGTCTTCTAACTTCATCTGTTTGAACGCGTCATAATACATGATTTCGACCGAACTCCCCTGGTCGATCAGGATTCTCTTGATATCAAAGTCCTTGACGCGAAGAGTGACTACTAAGGCATCATTGTGCGGCATCTGAACTCTTTCCAAGTCCTTGGTTGAGAATGAAAGGATGTCCCTTTCTTCGGTCTTTCATTTCTTGACAGCGGGCTGAACAGAGAGCACTTCCCTCATGTGCTCGGCCTTCTTGATCATCCCCCTCAGCTCGCAAACCTTGGCCAGTTCAATGATTCCGTGGATGACGTTGATTACACCTTGCGGGGGCGCTTCTAGGGCGGCCAGGCCGTTTGGCTCGACTTGGTCTGCTGGCGTGGCCTTGATGCCCCCATCTATGTATTGGTCAAGATGCTCTGCCGCCACCAACTCCTCTAAGTGTTGCTTGAGCGGCAGGCAGTCCTCTATTCGGTGCCTCCGTTCTTCATGAAAGGTGCAGTGATATTTTGAATTGAAGCCTCTTTGGGCACTCCCCAACTTGGCCGGCCAACGGACGAAGGGTTCGCTTCGAATCTCGCTCAAAATGCGGTAGATAGGGATTTTAAACACCGTGGTGATCCCAGTCCGCGCCTTTAATTTTCTTTTGGCATCCTCCGCTGCATCACGGGGAGGGTCTACCCGGTCGTTTCGGCGGCCCTTGTTTCTGTCATCACGGTTTGGACCATTGCGCTGGTCTTTCGACCGGTTGTTTGGGCGGCTATCCTTCTGCCCAACCGAGTGAACTTTCCCCGCAACCCTCCTGCCTGCCGCGACCGGATTAACCTTCTCGGTCGCGGAGGCGGCATCATCCTCCACACGAATGTGCTCATTGATCCGCTGCATCAATGACTCCATGGTTGTAGGTTGATGCATCGTGAGTGAATCTCGCAGCCTATGTCCAACTGGGAGACCTCGTTTGTACTGAGTGATCGCCAGATTGGTAGGGCAGTCGAGGATCTCATTGTAAGTTTCCCAGTACTTCGCATTGTACGCCTTCAATGAACACCCAGACTCCATCTTGACGCCCAAGAGATGGTCGACCTCCATCAGCGTTCGAGTGTTGGTCTTGAATCTGGTGACGAAGGCTTCTGCTAGCTGTTGCCACCCCTCTATACTCCCCTCTGGGAGCCTTTCAAACCACTTCAGACCCAGCTCTCCCAAGCTTGCTGGGAATATGAGACACATCAAAGCGTCGTTGCGCCGGTGGCCAGCCATCACCTGCCGATAATGACTCACGTGCATGTACGGATCCGTTTTGCCGTCGTATAAAGTGAACTTTGGCTGGTGGAATCCGGCGGGGAGTGGCGTACTCTCAATCTCTGGAGACAGCGGCGTGGCTGTAAGTCGCGCCAGCTCTTTGTCCTCCAGCGCAGGGGCCATCACTTTGGGGGCTGGCATCGCCACTTTCTCACTGTAACGCATTGGAGCGCTTAACCTCTGCAATGCCGGCACTCTTTGAGCCTCCCGACAGCGCGCCCTCTCTTCTAATACATCCCTCAAGTCCCTGGAACGTGTGGAGAAAGAGGATCCCGACGTCGGCGTCGGGCGTGAGGGGCGGTATGTGTTATCGCGAGAGAGGGACCTGCCCTCCCCTTGGTTGGAGCCTCCAACCCCATAGTTCCTGGTGACGGAGAGAGAGTGGGTCCTCCCCTGGCGACGACTGCTCCAACGAGGGGACGGGGTGCGCTCACTGAGGTTGCCCTCTCCAGCAACACCCTTCCCTTTGATCTGGCGTTTCAGCAGCTCCATCTCCGCCGCCATCTTGCGAATGACGGCGTCTTGGTCCTTGAGTTTGTACTCCAGGCGCTGCGCATGGGACTCCCCCCGGCGTCTGCGGCCCTTAGGACTCTGCGAGCGATCAGCACTCCTTCCACGTTTGTCTCGTGCACTCCGCGAAGGAGTTTCTAGGCCTGCCATGGCTGGAATATTCAGAGGACCTTCTCTCAAGCGGACGTACTCAGGGGTGACGCCATCGACGACGGACAGTGGGGCTTCGCCGTTGTTGGCCATGGAAATGATCGAAGAAGCTCTGAGAACAAGGGTTGAGTATCAAAAAACTTCCCACAGACGGCGCCAATTGTACGGGGGCGAAATATTCTCTGTGTCTCCGTACTCCTTGGTCTTCAAGCTTCTTGTGACGGCGTCTATCTCTGCAACACAAAAATGGTGAGCTGCCCGGCGGTGGTGTGCCGGAAAGACCCTTTGACGATCAAGTCAGACCACTATCAGAGAGAGAGTTTTTGATAGGATGAATTCGTTTACCTCCAACGTCCCTCTTCTTCCATATTTCTAGGCTGGCCATGCAGCCTCAAGATTGTGCGCGCACTACCTCTGCTGTCCTTCCCTGGACAGGTGGCAGTGCTCGCCTCTTCACTAAATACCATGGTAAGAAGCTTTTGGAAAGTGATCCTTTGCTGCTGATCCTCCACTGACAACATAGCAGTGATTGCTTCCCTTCCAAGGGCCATCAATGCAGACCTAAGTTCATTCAATTTTCTTTCTACATTTTGAAGCTTTATTGAAATCTCTGCCGAAGTCGAAGGATCTTTACACTTTGATTGACGCTTTATCACTTCAACTGCCTAGTAAAATGATATATTCAATATATCACTACCACCATTCCTCTAGTCTACAGCAATACCACCAAATATACCTAGATGTGGAATCAAAGAGTACTTGTGTTTCCACTTCTTGGCGGAGTCTGTCATAACGATGAGTCAAATAGCGAGCATCCTCCAAAGGAGCTCCTGTTATTGATGCCTGTAATGGCTCAGAAATCTGCAAGTAATAAACAAGGTATAACCCCTCCCCTAAAAATAAAAAAAACCACAGAAAAGAAAAGACGAGGAGGAAGACGACGGAGGACAAGGCGGTCCACGGTGGATCCAGTTGAAATTGCCTCTTATCTCGCCATCTGTTTATCCATCTTCGGAAATCACAACAGCTCCACCGCCATTGAAGCTATATATATGTTTGTAAATGTATTCTAGAGAGAGAGAGAGTGAGAAGTGAAAAGCTAAGGTTTGATTTCAGTCAAATTTCTCTATGATACATGGGTGTAAGAGTTGAGGGACCTTAGACATCGTAAAATAATATTGTTGATCTATTCCATTACTAAAAATGGAAGAGGGACCTTACACTAATTTTATATCCACATTTAAAAATATAATAAAATTATAATACACATATTAAAATGTTATCTTATTGTCATATTTTAAAAATTACACATTTAACAAAAGATTAATAAAATAATAATATTTATTTCTGATGTAACAAAAAGAAAATAAAAATAATAATACACAAATAGAATATACTCCCATCACATTTGAGAATTTTAAAAAATATAGTGAAATGACGTCGATATACTTTTGCAAATTCAATAAAATTTGATAATCTACAACAAAATTTATGAAACTATCCAGTATTGTCTATTTAAAAACAAAAAATAAAAAATAAAAAAAAAGTTTCTACTATCAAAATTTGAAGTAAATGCAAATTAGATGACAAAACGTCGTAAATCGAAAGGCCCACGAGCAAATGACAGCTCTCTCTCTCTCTAGCAGAGCAGGAATTCAATTCCCACCATTTTTCCATACCCCCCCACACCAAACACACCTGTCCCTGTGAAACTGCATCGTATACATACATGTATGTATAGAGAGAGAAACTAGACACAGACAGACCTAGAGAGAGAGAGGGGTTGAGAATGGTGTCTTACGTGAGTGTGCTGCTTTACGGAGTGGGAGGCATAGTGGTGGCCGGGATGGCATTGCTGGTGGCGTTTCAAGAGCGTCTCGTCTACGTTCCGGTGTTGCCTGGCCTCACCAAGTCCTACCCTGTCACTCCTTCTCGTCTCCGCCTCACCTACGAAGATGTATGGCTCAGATCTTCCGATGGAGTTCGCCTTCACGCCTGGTTCATCAAGCTCTTCCCTGACTGCCGAGGTCTCTCTCTCTCTCTCTCTATATATATATATATATATATGTATTGATTTGATTAGGTTTTGGATTTTTTAGATTATAAAGTTGCCTTCGAAGATCCAGTTGGAGGTGAATTAGGGTTTGTTTTCTGTTTGATTGGTTGGGGACTTATTAGGGCTCACTGTTGATGAGGTCAACGAAATTGGAAATGACCGAGCTCAATTTATTTCCTACAAATTGTGGAAGGAAGTGGAATTAGGTGGTGTTGTTACTATAACGTTTACTTCTTGGGGAAATCTATTTTGTAGGCACATAAAGTTAGGAATTTTTATTTTTTATTTTTGGTGGTGAAAATTTAGAAATATTTGTGGGGGTGTTAAAAGTTACGAGTGACAAATTTATGATGTGCATTTTAAAGTGAAATTTATATTTTTTGTGATGAGAATAGTTATTCCATTATATGGTTTATGTTACAAAATTTTATGTTGTTATTATGACGGGCGTACAATATGTGCCTTCTTATGGGTGCACATCTATGAAGCATTGATATTTCAAGAAGGTAGTCGTATTCGTATCATATCCTTATCAGATGCTAATACATTTTGAATACTCACGGGTTGTTTCTAAACGTCTAGTATTGAAATTAATTTTCTTGAATTTTGACAAGTATTGGATACTTTTGGATAAGTTATGGATCTAAACTATTATGAAACTGAGATTGTAATATTTCTTGCATAGCTATAGAGTATAATTGTTAAAATAAAAACATGAATAGTTTTAAATACTCAATTTATCTCTTAGAAAACAAGAAAATAATATGATACTAAAATCAAATTTTAATAATTGAAAGAGCAAGTAAACTTGTCTACAACACATTAGCATATAACACTTTAAGGTATGAAAGGGAAAAGAACAAGGGCGATATAAACAATTTAGACATGATATTGAAATGAAATTTTTATAAGACCTACTAAAAAAAATGTAAATTGACTACTGACTCTCAAACCAATACCTAGTTCCTAAAGTTGAGCTTATGTATAATACAATGTTAGAAACTATAACTTCTTTTTCATGAACATATCTTAGGCGTACCTGTATCCTATTTTTTTTAGTTTTTGTCGTATCACCATATCTGTATCGTATTGAATCGGCATCCTGTATTCGTATCCATGCTTCATAGGTGCATGTAGTACCAGCTCCCTTACTTGTTTGCTTTCAAATTTTGATTCTAGGAAGATTTGAAGTTTTGCTCTATCTAAATCACCTTGTTCAATTTGGCTTGTTAGACAGACTGACTAGATTGATGCTTATTACAATTACTGTGATATGCAGACATGTCGATTACTTATTAGAATTGTTTTATTATTCAATGAAGAATTAAGTTTGATATAAGAAGGTACCATTGAAACTTCAACGGGGGAAGATAAAACTGGTTTAACATTATCATTTTGCCCAACCCTCTAGAATGTCATCGCATATGACCTGACAAGCCTAGAAAATCATTTATATGAGTGCAAATATGTGTGTCCTAGTGGAAGCATGAATGAAGGCTGCAGATATTGTGTCATCACCTCTATTATCACTGTATCATGGCACTGATAACTCTGTGCTGGTTATTTCCCATTATATTATGTCCATATCTTTCTTATTTGTATTTTATGCAAATATTGTGGGCTTGTAACTACAAGTAGTAATACTTTTCAAGGCTTAGAAAGTAGTGATGTTGGTTTTGCAGGCCCAACCATTCTGTTTTTCCAAGAAAATGCTGGGAGTATCCTTTTGCTATTGTTTTCCAGAAGATATGCATTGGGTTGTATTTATAATTTTTATAATTTTTATTTATTTATGAATCTTTTGGGTATTTTTTGAAGTTTTGATGGGTCTTATTTGTGTTGGAGGCCTTTACTAGCTTCCTTCAGATATTGCACATCGTCTTGAAATGGTTCGCATAATGTTGCAGAAATTGCAATGTAACGTTTTCATGCTTTCCTACAGAGGGTATGCACTTGTTGCATTTCTTTATTCTCAGTATTTTTGGTGGCTTTGTTATGATAATAGCAGCTGAAATTGAATTGATATATATGGCTGGTTGTCTAACTATTTGGAAAATTATTCATATTCTTCAATGGAAAACAGTTATGGGGCTAGTGATGGCTACCCTTCTCAACATGGTATCACAAAGGATGCTCAGGTTTGTTTTGCAGTTGACATTTTTCATTCAGTTATGATCTTTTTCATACATTTTGATTCCATCAAATCTTAATGGACATGCTTCCCTTTCTTTTCGTTAGGCTGCATTGGATCATCTGGCTCAAAGGACTGACATTGACACATCTAGAATAGTTGTTTTTGGAAGGTCACTGGGGGGTGCTGTGGGGGCTGTACTTACCAAAAACAACCCCGAAAAGGTATAACTCTAATACATTTCTTTATTTTTTGGTTGACTTAGCACGCTCTATTAGTCTTTTGGAAATGCAATTACATATCTTTACTGTTAAAACATTCCATATTTTGCTAAATAACTTTTCGAGTCGTAAACCTGGTCAGATTGGTAATCTGAGCTTTTACATTTTGTGATTTTGAAAATTCATTGTAAAGTGAGAGTTGATAAATTATTGGATAGATATACTATTGCACTAAGAATGACCTATAGTTCAGACATTAATGGACTGACAAATAGGATCCATTAGCTAGTACATTTTATGGGTCTTTGAAACCATTATTACATTTTGGAAGTTTCCTGGATAATTTCCTGTTAGTGCTGCTCTTTTTGTGCATTTAGCACGAGTAGCAGCTCCTTCTGTTGCTACTGTACTTGCGTTTGATAGGTAGTCTGGGCTTGCCTAATTAAGTAAATTATTGTAATTGATTTCAGAGTGTAAAATCTTGGTATTTTTTTTCTTGGGCAGTCTGCTTTTGGCATGTTCATACCAGATGCTTGTGTGGATAAAATTTATTGTTTCCTGCCTTGTATTTTTATTTTTTTATTTCTTTGGGGCTGGGTGAAGGTGCACTCCAAGACTCGGTGAGATACAAGTGCAGAACCTACAGATTACTTTTACATAAAGGAAGAGGTTGAACTTGGCTGAGCAGATCCTCCAGATGTTGAACATGGATACTAATAAGGTTTTTTTTGTTGTTAAATGATAATGCCTTTTTCTAAAACTCTAGATTGGCAACTCCATGCTTCTATCCTGTCATGAGTTTATTCAAATATCTTATTATTCGTTACTTCTCTATTGCATTAATATCTACATTGATCATGCCAAAAGGAATGTGATGAACTTATGTTGTTTCAGTTTCTCCTAGTTCTTAGTTGATCAAGAAGCTGTACTCTATTTTTTTTTTGTCGCGTGAGAATTACTCTATTGATCTGTATGAAATACTAAATGGTGTGTTCTGGCCAGGCACCAATAACATTTAGCTTTATATTTACGTATTTTCTTATATCAAAGGTTCTATCACATCTTTATTTTTCTGCCATATTATTTTTGTCTTTATTCATGCTGTTTTGTCTGTTTCAATGAACTAAATCTATTTTTATGATCGTAAAAATCCAACTACTGAATGCCCATCTTTTATGCACATGATTGTTTGGTTCTCTAATTTTGCAGGTTGCCGGACTGATACTGGAGAACACTTTTACATCTATTTTGGACATGGCTGGAGTTCTTCTACCCTTTCTGAAATGGTTTATTGGAAGTAGTAGCTCAAATGGTCCCAAGGTTCTTAATTCTCTTGTTCGTTCTCCATGGAGTACGATTGATGTAATTGGCCAGGTAAGCAACAAGTTGGTAGAGCTTTAGATTTTACTTGTGTTAAGACTTTTAAACTGTGTTGCATGGACACCTAATGGTGTACCTGAATGAGGAAGGACTGCTAAATTCTTGTCTTGTGAAGAACTTTTTTTTTATTCTCTAAACTTTAATTATACTGATCTATGATTGGCATGGACTCACATCAATGTTAAGTTTGAAAGTGAATAAAAATAAAGGATTTTGTTAATGTGTACCCTAAGGGCACTTTTTAAGGAGTTTAAATTGATTGTACATTCTTTATCTTTTCTATCAAATTGATGATAACCACTACCTACATTCCTACAAAAAATGTATAACTATTTTAAGCTTTGTTAATCAATGCCCTTAGGGCACTCGTTGGCAAGACCTAAAGTAAAACTGGGACTTATAAGCTTAATATATGTCTTGTTATTGCATGTATGTTGCCATTCTGAAATTTTTGTAATTTTCTGTTAAAGTTAATGACGTCTTATTCTTTTACTTTATTATCGTATTTTGTTCAGTATCAGTAATAGTTTAGTGTTCTTGAATAGCAAAATTTTGCATGAACCCTTGCACTTTCAATTTTGCTTTGATATTGAGATTCCTATTGCTATGTTGAAAATTTACCTCACTGGTGTCTCTAAGTCTGTTGGATTTGGATTTATCAAGGGAAAGAAAGTGAAGGGAAATGGAATTACTTATGCATTCTCATTTTTGTAGGTACAAAAGGATTTTTTTTAAACAAATACGTGTTCATTTTCTTTTCATTTTCCTAACCCAACTAAAAAAGACACAGAAATTTAGTTGTACTTCCAACTTTTTTCCATGTCTTTTCCCTTTTTCTTTTCCTTCTCCAAGTCCTTCCTCAAATCTAAGATCCAAACACACCCTAGAAGCGACATGTTCGAGTTTAATGGTCTTTTGCTCCTTCGTTTACCTTTTCTGCCTTTGCGTCTGCTCATGTGATTTGTGCATCACACCATTGTTTTCCTTTTTGTCTGCAGATCAAACAGCCAATCCTTTTCCTCTCTGGATTGCAAGATGAAATGGTTCCTCCACCGCACATGCAAATGCTATATGCGAAAGCTGCTGCACATAACAGTCGATGCATCTTTGTGGATTTTCCTAATGGCATGCATATGGACACATGGCTGTCTGGTGGAGATCGCTATTGGAGAACAGTTCAACTGTTTTTGGAACAAAATGTTCCAGAGAACAAGGATGATCTATCTTCCCACAAGGACAGTTGTAAGTTTTTGACTTCAAATGTTAGAATATCCTACGATTGCTAACCCACAACCTCCAACTATTCCCCCCAAACTGAAAGAAACACAAACATTAAAATGCACTGCAAGAGCAGTGTAAAATTTTGGACATTAAATCTTACTGCGAGAGCAATGTTTCGGAGAACGAGGATGATGAATCTTCCTGTAAGGGTATTGCTAAGTTTTGGATATCAAATCTTCTAAAGTTCTAATATTGCCAGCCCATGTCCTCCAACCCCACCTCCCAAACTTTAGAAAACAAAGAGACCACCGGTTTTCTTTAAAATTGAATCTGTTTCATCCTCTGGTTCACAGCTTTCTGATAATTCTTTTGCTAGTTGGAAGCCCAACTTGACGCAGTTTGAATTGTGGCTTGAAATTAATTGGCTGACTCATTTGGCCTTAACTTTTAGTCGGTATTTTTTTTTATAGGAAATGCTAACCACTGCCCTTGAGCGATGTTTAATGTTGATAAATGTGTAAAAAGTGTATTGAAATATATGAAAAGTGTATAAAAATATATAAGTGTATGAAGATATGTAAAATGCGTATTTAGTACATATTACAACTAAACTGACTTTTTTGTTATATATTTCATATATAAAATATATACACGCTCACATAAGCACTCCCAATCTTAGAAATGTTTATACGCCCCTGCTTCATGCACAACTAAAGTTAATACTTAATTTATCTCTATTTATAGCTCATAGTACCATTTTGACACAGTTATCACTAACAGTTGATGTTTGTACTTTGATGATTATCCTGCCTGCTTTCAGATTCCGAGGCACGGTGACTGGCCGAGGTTTAGAATCTTGTGGTCTAATGCATTAGGCCACCCCAGAACTCAAACTATTTGTACCTTTTTGACATTGCAGTGACGGAAAGCTCTTTGTGATTGCCGGTGGGAGCTGCTGCATCAGGTTTTTTTTTTTCTCTAGGAGACATTTTTTCGGTTTACCAATTTCAGAAGATCGAAAAATGTGAATGCCTTTCGCTATACTATATGACCCAGACATACTGCTCAAGCTTGGATCAATCCTAACTTATGATCATTGTGTGGAATAAGACGCTGAAAAAAATGAAACTGTGTACCATAAATTTATGAGCTGAACTGGCTGACTCTTTTTTGATGTACTATGACGGGCCTATTTTTTTTTGGACAACTTTTAGCTTGGGAATTGGGGCTTCGAGAAGTTTGAGTAACTTGTTGAGTCAAATGACATCTTGATGATCTGCCCTATTGTGCTATATTGATTCATTCTTGCTTCTTGTTTTAGTGTTTTTCAATTAGACTATATTTTGGAATATGAATCGAAAGAACTGTAATACATGAGATGGTTGCAAGTGTACATTATTTTTTAGGGGATTGGGATCCCTCTCCATTATATGATGTCATTTTTGTGTTATTATTATAATTAAGTTTGGATAGTTAGAGCATCAGTATCTTTAAATTAACAAAAAGTTAAAATATAAATAACAAATCATCAAATCTTTCCTCCATCAGTCTTAGTAACTTTTTGTTAAATTGCTATAGTAATTCGTCTGATGAAGTGAGGAACTATTCATCACTACAACACGTGATTTTGGTGTAACTGGACGTCTGCCCGGAAGTCCCGCTAGTCAACCGGTCAACGCAATTTTATTATTATTATTATTTTTTTCTCTAGTTTTATCTTTTGTAAAATATAAGAATTGTTTAGTTAATAGGTCATCAATTTAATTATTAAAAAAAAAATAACAAATATTTTAATAGGATTGAGTTAAAATAGAGAGTTTGATGCAGTGGGTGACTAGCTAATATATGAAAATAACTTTTTCAGTTATAATTTGACTCAAAAGTTACTGAGGTTGATGCGGATGCTCTTTGGGGTTATTTGATGTTGGTAAGCTATCAAGTACAGATAAGTTTAGAAGGGATTCCTTCATGTATATGATACTTGATGTCAATTTTGGAAAGTATCGTATATGTATACTTTATGTCACATACGAATTATTAAAAAATTAAGCTTGTAATAATTTTTGTTATTAGAATAATATAACTTTTAATGTAGATATCTCTTTTTAATAAAATTAATATTTTTAAAATTCTCTCATTAAAATCTATTAAATAAGATTTATGTTGATTATAAAATTCTTTATAAAAAAAAAAGAAGGTATTACTGTTGAAATTGATGTAAATAGTAACATGTTATTCTGTCTCACAGTAACATGTTACTCTATTTGACAATTACTCTATTTGACAGTAACATGATACTCTGGTTTACAGTAACATATTATTCTGGCAATATTATCCAATAAAGAAAATATATATATATATATATTTTTTACTTTGTCCTTACCCAATTATGTGTTTTTTTCTGTAGAAGATTTATGAAAAAAAATAAAATGAATTGTTATTTTCACAAAATAAAGATCCTTTTTCTTCCTATAATAAATACAAGAACAGTTTTTTTTTAAATACTTTTTTTCTGATGAAAGTGTAAAAGGAAAAAGAATAAGGGCAATATAAATTGTCCAAATTTTACATTGAAATGAAAATTTTGTAAGATTCACTTAAAAAAAAATATATATGTAAGCCGTTATTGCCGAATTTTTAAAGAATTGTTCATCATTTTTTGAGTTCATACATCATATATAATACAATAGTATATATATTTATTTATTTTTTAAACACATCTTGATTGTATTCTCATATATATATTTTTATTTTATTTCATCAAATTTATATCATAGCTGTATTAGTATCCATGTTTCATTATGGCCAAGTAATTTTTAATATTGAGAAATTTTACCAATTTTGTAAGATTCACTTAAAAAAAAATATATATGTAAGCCGTTATTGCCGAATTTTTAAAGAATTGTTCATCATTTTTTGAGTTCATACATCATATATAATACAATAGTATATATATTTATTTATTTTTTAAACACATCTTGATTGTATTCTCATATATATTTTTTTTATTTCATTTCATCAAATTTGTATCATAGCTGTATTAGTATCCATGTTTCATAATGGCCAAGTAGTTTTTAATATTGAGAAATTTTACCATACACACCTTTTGAAAAGATATGCCGTAGAATTTTAGGGGTTGTTTGAGTAGGGATATAAAGGTGTACTTTTTTTTTTGTTGTTGTCATATTATTTTTTTATTTTTCTACACTTTTTTTCATAAAAAATTTAAAAATATATTTATTTAGATCATTTTAGATAATCTATTAGTTGAAAATAAAATTATTGAGTCGGATGTAATTGAGGCACAAAATTTTGTTTGATTTGATTTGATTTGATAAAAATTTAAGGTAAATTAATCTCCTTACCCAAAGTGCAGTCAGATCAACATCATTTGTGGACACGTGTATGTAGGCCTGTACGAAATATCATCTAATCTTAAAATTGTATCGATTTATATCAATTTGTGCCGTTTTATTTGTTAATCACAGATTAAATTTTAAATTTTATAATCTGCCTTAGAAATCGCTCTGTTATAGTTAATACATATATTTTTTAACCTTTAATAAAATATCAAAATAAAAATAAGTGTGATAGATATTTAAGATGTAAAATTTATTACAGATTAGTAATTATATATATAAAATATATATATTATATAAATTAATATATTTGAAAAATTTATTACAGATTAGTAATTATATATATAAAATATATATATTATTTTGGTTTGTGTTATATATTTAAAAAATATTATATAAATTAATATTATATATTATACAAATATTTGATAATTTGTTAAAATATTCCTCCATATGCTAATTTACCCAAAATTATCCAAATCATAATTTATCAACCCATCAAACCGTCGTTGGATTTATAATTTTATTTTCGGATCATTCCAACCACACTACGCACATCAATACGTGTACGTCATGGATGGAACTAAAACGCTACCATGACTCCTTCCATTGTCGTTCCTTTTGATCATTTCATCTCAGCCATCCGATTAAATTTTGAGATCTATGAGCTTGAGGCCGTGGATTTTAACATCATTCCTTTGTGATCAAAAGTCGTTATGTCAATTTTGTTTTTGTTTTTATTTTTTGAAAAATACGAAATATATATATATATATTTAGTGAATTGTTTTTTTTTTGAGATATTACTTACTTTTTAGAAATATTATTTTTAAATTCTCAAAAATTGTTTTCACGTGAAAATGAAAAGATAGCTGATCAAAAAAAAAAAAAATGAAAATGAAAAGATATAAAAATGATGAGATGTGTGTTTCAAACATTTTTTTTAATTAAAAAGAAATAAAAATAAAAACACAGACATTTTTGATAAATCCACATCAAATTTTGTCAGTAAGGTTAAAAACATGGAATGAATTACAGAAAATATAATAGAAAGTTGGACTTAAACCTAGTTATAAAAGGGGTCATATTCAAAATAAATTTTAATCTACAACTGTGCTTTTTGTGATGCATTCTTTATTTTAATTTTATGTAATTAGAATTATTATTTTCGGGATAAGTTACATTGATTTTTCTTAATTTTTGAAACAAATACAACTCTCATAATTTTGGATTAATTACATTAGATTTTCTTAAAATTTTAATTTACATAACATTTAATTTACTTTTATCAATAATTGATTAGTCATATGAATGAAAAAGATTAATATTGGCATTTCTTTTATACCGAGATTTATATTTTAATTGTTTATTCTCGTATTTTCACACCACTTACATTAGTTTTATTTCATTTAATTTTACTAAAAGAAAAAATGATTAATTACTTAAAAGTCCTAATGACAATAGGTGTGGTAAGTCATGTGCAATAGTTTTTGGATGCACAAGTCCCATTTTGGAATGCAATTGACGTTCGTGTCCTTTGGAATCTAACATATTAGAGATGCAACTTCAAAGAAAAAAGAGGACCGTCCCTAATAAATTCTACGGCTAAGAGAAGGAGCAGAGTCTGCATCTTCATCGATCTTTTCAAACACTTGATGATGATGATCATTTGAATTATCTAAAGATTTTTAAGTTGGAGGTTTGCAATGCCTTAATCTTTTATACTTTTGGTTCGATCTGTTCTTTTCTTTTCATCACTTTGATTCGCAACAACTGTGTATGTGTGTGTGTAACTCTAGCCCTTAAAATACTTGATTGCTCAATTTCAGGGTTCATAACAGAACATATTAAATCGACCAAAAAGATGGGGTTGAAGATCTGGTTTGTAGGTAAGAACTGAGCCATTTTTCAGTTTCAAAACTGATAATGTTCTCAATTTAAAATTGAGAACGATTTCAGTTTGCAAAAAAAAATCTAGTAAAATTGAAATTTTTTTCAAATTTTCCCAATGTTAAAACTAAAATTATTATCATTTTGCCAGTTTTAAATTGATAGTATTCTCAATTTTAAAATTAGAAAAAATTGAGAAATTTATCAATTTTGCACAACCATTGAAAATCGCAAGGTAAGAATGAACTACCCCTTTCAGGAAAGAAGTGGTCCTGGAGGTGTAGTTTAATGTGATTGAGTCCCATTCATTTAAAGGACAAACCCAATTGAACCTATAATCATCATTTTCCATCAAGCTCTCATAGTCACCAATGGCGAATAATGAGGAGATTGAGTCTGAAACCACATCATCCATTATGAGGATGAACTTATGATGTTGTATATTTGGTGGGTACATAGAGAGAGCTTCGAGAATCAGCGATCGAATATGGAAGATGAGCTTTGATTTGGTACAGTGGAGGAGAACAGAGATGGTATGTGAGTCGAAGTAAGTGCTGGTGGTGTTGAGAGAGAAAATTAGAGAACTATAGTCAAAAGGTTTGGGCTCCACTTTTTATATGTCTGAGATAAAAAGAGTCTGAAACTAAAAAAATAGAGAGAAAACAAGTGAGAGAGAAGATGTTTGGTTGTTGTTGTTGGGGAGTAGCTGTAACAGTGAAAGAGAGAGAATGAGGACAATAACTTACTGTTACACCAAGCATGTAGTAAGACATTTGGCAGCGATAAAGGAGGCCTTGGAAAGGTAAATTGGTCTATTAAAAATTAATGAGATATGAAGAAATAAATAATCTTATCTAAGACTTAATGAATTATAAACTCACAAAATGAGACTTGTATGTAAATGCTCCAAGAGAAAATTAAACTTGTGCTAAAATCATAGCACATATTATTATATTTTTATTAAAACTCAAGAGAGGTATAACTTATCATTGTTTTTAGGGTTAATTACATTAACATCCCTAAACTATTAGCAATATTATTATAATTTTTTCATTTATGAACTTATATATTTTGGCTTCCACAACTACAAATATATATAGCAATTTTCATCACATTCAGACTATCTCCAAAAATAAATGCATTTATACGATTTTCATAGTTGAAACCATCAATATGTATGAGTCCATAAGGTGTAAAGTGATATTCACTAACAAATTGAGGGGTCTTATTGTAATTAAACATTGTTATTATTATTATTATATCCCTCATTTTCTCTTCCAAAGTCTCAGGCACCGGCATTTATTTAACTTTTTTGAAACCTGGGGTTGGATTTGGATTTGTGAAGTGTGAAGCTCTCACTCTGTGTGTATGTGTGTGTGTTTGTGCGTGTGTACGGCATGGAATACAACCCTCGAACAGTGGAGGACGTTTTCAGGGATTTCAAGGGCCGCCGTGCCGGCATGATCAAAGCCCTCACCGCCGGTATACACACACATACATATTCATATTCACATATATATATACACAGACACACACACAATCGAGACTAATTTCTCTATGTTTATGGTTTTTCGGAGTTTTGAGTTTTAGGGTTCGTTTTGATAGTTTTGAATTTGGCACATTTCTGATGTGTTTGGCGTTTTCTGCAGATGTTGAAGAATTTTACCAGCAGTGCGATCCTGGTCAGTTAGGGTTTCTATTTTTTGCTTCTTTCTCTCTCTCTCTCTCTCTCTGTGCGAGATTTGTGTATTTGTATTTATTTCGTATTTGCAATGTGGGTTACTGAAAAAATCTATTCTTTTTTTTTTTGCTTTGCAATTTATCCATTTTTGAGTGTGCTTCAATTTTTTCATTGCCATTTGTCAGTATCATGTTTATATATCTGTGTGTATATTTGAACTTTCGAGTCCTGTTGTAATTGATAGCTGCATTTCAATTTTAGTGAGAAAAGAAATAAATGACTGGTCTTTTTTGACCTTGGTGAGAAAAGAAAATAAAAGAAATGATTAATTTGTGCTTTTTCTCTATCATGTTTGGATGGGAAATGGGTGAGATTTATTTTTCATGTATGTATTTTGATGAGTAACCTTGGTATTTTTAAAAATAGACAGCCAATCAGTTTGGTTTCTCACCAAATTTTTCCATTTTTGGTCAGAAATAAAAGTGGCATAATATGAGAGTTCTCTTTCTCTCAATTTCACGTCCAATTTTTAAACCAAACACGAGAAAGATTTCTCATCATTTCTCATAAAATCACTTAATCCAAACGAGCTGTTAAGAAAAATTGGTGTTGGAATGAGCTCGTCGTTTGTGTCATGCTTGAGCACAAATGCACATATATGTATGTATCTATATGTGCGTGTATCTGTATGTCTTATTTCATTTTCCACAATGAATGCTTACCTGTTTAGTCAATAATTCCAGTATGTGAGGGGAAATCAGATACTCCCTCCGTTGCACAATGTTGGTCCCTTTTTGAGAATTCCAACTTTTTAAGAGAACATGTAATTATTGCTTTAAACTCAAATCAAAAGATATTGATACCATATTGCCCCTTTATTCCCATTATTAAATATATTTTTTAATAATTTTTAAAGGGTAGTTCTGGAATAATATAAAATTTTATGTTTTGAATTTTCAAAATGGACAACTATTTTTGGGACATCAAAAAATGACAACATGGGCCAACAATATGGGATGGATGGAGTAATTGATTAAGTATTAACCACTGTAGTCCATTTGTTGTATTGAGCCATGTTGCTAAGAACCCAGATTGGTCCATGGACAAGCTGATTCATAAGCATGATGTGCTTGCATGCTGCCCTATATGTTCGTGGAGGAGACAACAAAAATTGGTCCACCCAAAAGTAAACAATAAAATTGCAAAAAGAAAAAAAAAGAGAGATTTTCAAGAGAGGCCTGAGAATTCTTCCACCATATATTAAAAATGTTCAATTGCATGGTTTAATATCACCTTGTCTGTGTACTTTTTGAAGAATTGGTAATTTTTTGTCAAGATACTTTGAAACACTACCTTTTTCCTCCCTTTTTTTTTTTTGTTTTGTTTTGTTTTTAAAGTTTTGTGGAGCGTGGTGTTTAATCAAAACACTTGTTATAACAAATATTTTTGTGAAATTTTGGCATATGTTGACCCAAAGCCTCTGTATTTTTGAAAGAAAAGGACTTTTAATCAACTCTAATGTGTATGTAAAGAATCCATTTTTCTCATCTTGCTACTTTTTAGTTTTACTGTGCATGCTTTGGAAGTTTTTTCATTACTCTAATGACTGGGTTCTATATGATTTTGTACTCCGAGCTACATAGAAATCTTTTTGTCTGTTGTTGCTAGTGTGTTATTTACATGGTATTCTTTCAATGTCAAAATTGGACTTTTATTAGTGTTCCAGGTTAAGATTTTCTTGTTGGTTGTTGTTCTTCCCTAGGCTCTTCATCTGTAATTATGCTCTTTATTCGTGTTATTAACTTAATCCCGGTTATGTGTAACCCTCCTTGAACCCCTGCCAATTCTATGTTTAGGTGAGGATTTCTTGCCTTCTATCATTTTTTTATTTATTTCTTGCATCTTTCTTCATATAGTGTCTGCTGATTTGTTTGGTACCAATACCAAAACCTCACTTTTCTCTAGTGTTTGCATGTGTGAATGCCTGGTGCTTGTTTGTTTGTGTATGCATGGAAATGCAGTTTGTATCCAACAGGCTGATGTTTGGAAGTTGATTAAATGGATGTGGCCTTTTTGGGCTAGAACTTAGAAGCTACCAAGTGTTGGGTTCTACTTCCTAAGTTCCTGGTTCTATTTAAGATGATCAGAATTTGTTGCAAAATGTAAAAAAGAATAGCAAAGGTGTCATTACGTGACAAATTCCTTAATTATAATTTTGGATGTAGTTTTTGGAAGTTGTGAAAAGACTAGACAAGGGTGTCATTACATGACAGTTTTTTTTTGTTGTTTAGCATTGACTTGAAGTCCAAAGTGTCATTCCATGACAGTTTTTTTTGGTTTAACATTGACTTGATGATGCTATAGTCTTTTTAAATTTCAATGGGCTTAATTGACTTCATTATATGAAGATAAGTTATAAGATTGCTTAGTTACAATTCATTTATATTAGGAGTCTTCCAGGGCTGTTTTATTTGGCTTACTTGCTTATTGAGAAGGACTTTCCCTTCGGTCCTGTTTTGGCAAGAGCTGTTTTTGGAAGATTTTTACCTACCAGAAATTTATATCGACTTTATAAGTGACACCTTTTGTTGTTGCTCCAGTAGTTTGGGTTCTATAAGTGTCGTTGTGGGTTCTTCAAGTGTCATTGCCCACACCCTATACCCTTGTGGACTCCAGTCTTATCTACAGTTTCTTAGTCGTCCCTAATTGTACTTTTATTTATTTATTTATTTTCATTGTTATGATAGGAGGCTGTATTTATTTATTTTCAAGCAGTAATTAACTTTTGGACAGTTTTTCACTGCTAGGTTGATCAAAATTACATTGGTGGTGGTGTATAATACTTGGTTTTTTGGGATGGATAATACTATTACTATCTTTAATTGGTTTCCTCCATGGTCTGTTTAGAGATGATTCCTTAATTGTTGTGAAGTGGATGGAGGAAAGGAATAGAAGCAAATGGTTACTTTGGATTTTGTAATCTTTTTAAAGTGATATCTTATGTTTTAGGATCATTTATAATAAGTTATGTAGCTGTGGTTTTTTTCTTGCATTGTTAGGCGTGATAACTCTCTCTCTCTCTCTCTCAATATCATTGCGTGTTGCCTTCTTTCAGTCCATTTCTAATTTAATCAAGCCATGGTGATAGATGGCATTCACTATGATATGATTTTGCCCTGTTTGTTGATTTTATGTACAATGGCAAACTGCGATGGAGTTTTTTTGTATCCTTCAAAATGGATCAATAGTTCCTGATCAATAGCATAGCTGTGAATAGGCTTCCATGTGGCATTTCCATCATCTTCAGTGCAGACATGTTATGCACTTTCGATGGTTTTGCCACAATTTCAGCTTAAATGAGGCTCCAGGGGCTTCTAATAATCTTGATGTTTAGTTATTTATCAAAAAAAAAAAAAAATCATCTTGATGTTTAGTTGCAAGTAACCAAAGGCTTTTTGGTTGTCTGTTTGAGCATTACTTAGTGGATTCATTGAGATGATTTTTCAATTGGATGAGTGGTTTTGATTTCATGGCTGTACTTCAAGAGAAGTTTCTAGACCCTGCCTCAACATCTTATTGGTCCATGTAGTTTCGTGCATCCTTCTGGTGGTTTTAAACGAGCCTTTATTCTCATCAATGTTGCTATATCAATCCTATTTGTGTGATGGCTCACTGGAGATGATGATGTCTGGCAAGAGATAATGTTTGTAATTATATATATTGATAAATGTAATCTATGTAAGTTCTGGCAAAAAAAGGTTAATATTTTGCCCTTCCTACGTTAATTATATGTTGAGAAGTTAATGCATGCACATAATTTCTTTCTTTCTTTTTTTTTTTTTTTTGGGTGCTCCTTTTCTTCCTTTGCTTCCCTTACATTGAGATTTCATCTTGCATAATACTATTCCTATTATGTTCATTAGCTTTATGTTGTCATGCTACATTTAGTGGTGGAGCCACCTTAATTTTAAAAATTATTGTTTGACCTATGGTTTTTAATATATCTTTTAGCTTGTTCTTTCTAAAATTATATGTAAGCCTTATTTGTTTTTGTTTTTGTTTTTTTTTCATAAAAAGCCTTACAATTTGACCCTCTCAAATGTTTTTATTTGTTACACAATTCCCTTGATGTACACACAACCATATATTTATGCTAATAACTTCTCTCATTTTTCTTTAGTCTCTCTCTTCTCTCACACGCATATATAGCATTTTTATCCTTATATTTTGTGGATTGCCCGTCCTAAATCGATTTTTTTTACCTCCGCCACTTGCTACATTGCAGATGATTTGTGCAACATGTACCTAAACTTGTTAATTATTGGTGTTTCTTGTGTTATTTGATCATATCAAAAAGGAATTTGTAATTTTGACTAGTTATCTTTGCTAGAGAATATATTCCTTTCTTCTTACTTCACCTGAGGGAGTTTTAAAATTTTAGCTACTTATCTTGCTCAGATAACAAATTTATTGTTACTTTGTGCATTTTTTTGTTGTTGTTGATGTTCCCTTTGTCACAATAGTGGATGTGATTCCAATGCTTATTGTCTATAAGCAACTGATTTTCCTTGCAGAGAAAGAAAACCTTTGCCTGTATGGATTCCCCAGTGAGCAATGGGAAGTTAATTTGCCTGCTGAAGAGGTGCCTCCAGAGCTCCCAGAGCCTGCATTAGGCATTAACTTTGCCAGGGATGGGATGCAAGAGAAGGACTGGTTGGCTCTAGTTGCTGTCCACAGCGATGCATGGTTGCTTTCCGTGGCCTTCTATTTTGGTGCTAGATTTGGTTTTGATAAAGCGGACAGGTGTTCTTTCTTCCTTCTACTATCCTGTGGTGCATTTGGAGTTATAAGTTTCTAGTTTGCTAGAATATTGAAATGTGCTGTGATCCATCATATCATTATATGAAAAAGTAAGCCTAAATGAAAAGGCATGTGAGTGTGTGAAAATTATTAAGAAAATTTAGATTAATTTTTAAAAAACATTTGAAGTACTTTTAAGTCTACTGTATGATATCCTTTTGACAACCAGTCTAAAATGACGATGTTTCCCAAATTTGACTTGAACAGAAGATTATTTTCTTTTCATTGACAAAAGTTCCTAATAGTTTTTGATCAACCATACTGAATGCAAAACCAAGTCGAGCAATACTATTTCTATACATTGTATTTGAATAGAAGCACTTACTCATTAGCCAAGTTAAACCTGTTTATCTTGCCAGTATTCCATCTTCTTAATGTTTTCTCACTAAGGTTGAGCCACTTGCTTATTATCAAACCAATGCTTATTTAGCGTTCATGCACAACAAAAAATTGGTTTGGTCCACATCAGTTTTAGCTGGAGCAATCTTGAACCAAGTGCACTGCTGAAGTGTCTATTAGATGCTAAGCGAGTTATCTTTATGACATTGATATTGTATTATGGGACATATCAAGTGATGTTCCTCTGGCATAAATAGCAGTTGTCATTTCTGTTTTCTGCAATAGATGTATTGAATTTACTGAATGCGTGGAATGAAATGTAGATCAACATTGCTCTGTGTCCCTATAAGCTAATTTTCATGGTCAGTTAATGAAATCTTGCTGGATTTTGTGATGCAGGAAACGTCTTTTCAATATGATAAATGATCTGCCAACAATATTTGAAGTTGTGACAGGGACTCCCAAGAAACCGGCAAAAGATAAGTCAGCAGTCTCAAATCACAGCAGCAACAAAACCAAGTCAAACACAAAAGGGGTAAAAGAAACATCCTTCCTAATGGTTCTCCTATGTTGCTAGTAAAATAGTCATGATTATTCCTTTTATGCGCTAGTTGGTCATTTCGGTCGGTCTTTAGCCTGTTATAATTCAATTCGTTAGGCTTTTGAACCCTAGCAATAAATTGCAGTATGAACTTCTCTTTGAATGTTAAATGTGAATATTAGGCAAGTAATCATGACCAGTAATGATTTATCTTGAAAGTGTCTCCTGTTCTCCAACTCATGTAATGACAGTCTCATCTTTTTCTCCTGTAATCCATCTGTCACCATTTGGGAACTAGAGCTGCTGCACACGTGGCTGAATTTATCTTGTCTTGAAGTCATAGTAGAAGATGTGGTTGAAAATGTCTCCCCACTCGAGTCTTGAGTTTTTTTTTTTATCGAAACTTGAGTCTTGAGGTTGAGCCTTCTGTTTTATTGGGTACGGATTATTTAGATACAGAAATACTGAACAATGTGGATATGCATTGGTCTTGGTTTGTGAGCAAGTGGTGGTTAAAGTAATAAAGGAGAGTTTGACGGTGAAGGTATTTATGTTTATTTCATTATTAGTGATGAAAACTTCTAAAACAACATTGTGTATATGAGTTATGTGATGAACCAGTGTGCAATGCATCTTTTGCCTTTTGTGTATTACACCAAATGTGTAGTCTTGTCTGATCATTCTGATTTAACCTTTTTTTTTCTTCTTTTCTGAATCGATCTGTTATGTTGTATGGTCATGGCATATGAACCGATATGGAATTGTTTTGGACCACCTTGATGTTGTGTCCGAGATTCATACTCAGAAGTCCTCTAATATGGATCCACCTGACTAGGCCTGTGGCCTCTGTGCAAATCTTCCTCCTTGGGTTGAGACATTAAGAAAACATAATCTGTTTATTTCTCAAGGGTTGAGGGTTCCTGTTCCCTTCCTCTTTTAGGATTAAAGCACCCCGAGGTTGGATGTGGAGAAACATTAGGGAGAATCAACAGGCTCTTGGATGATTTTATTTTTTCCTTTGTTTTTAATTTTTGTTTAGTGCAAAAGTTTATAAATCTTTCATTAGAATTGCATCCCTCCATTGTAACAGTTTCTCTTTTCGAAATGAAAACAGCGAGGTTCTGAATCGCAGGCCAAATTTTCGAAACCAAAGGATGAGGAGGAGGGGTTGTTGGATGAGGAAGAAGAGGACGAGCACGGGGATACCTTGTGCGGGGCATGTGGAGACAACTATGCTTCCGATGAGTTCTGGATCTGCTGCGATATGTGTGAGAGGTGGTTTCATGGCAAGTGTGTGAAGATCACTCCAGCCAGGGCTGAGCATATCAAGCAGTACAAGTGCCCAACATGCAGCAACAAGAGAGCGCGGCCTTGATGCTCCTTTTCGGGTGGGTAGGGAGTTGGTTCTCTCATATCTTGTGTATGTGTTGTCATGGATTCAACTAACTGTTTAGTTGGGTTAGGTTTTGAATTTCTTGCAATGTCAGGAAGGTGGTCTTTCTCTGTGTCTATGTATTCAGTAACCACGGTCTTGTTAATCTTTGTTTATTCTGATTATGTCTCACTTGTGACCGTCTTTAATTTGATATTCTTGTTACGGGTAATATACAGTTTTACACTTGTAGGAAACTATTATCTTTTTTCTAATGATTTATCTATCCCCACGTATTTTAATTCTTGATTTAGGAAAATCCTATGGATTTCACTGAGTAAGTTGTTTGTAGTTGTTAATTTCTTAGTCTGTTTGAATGTTATGACAAACTCTCATTTTTCATTGTATCCTTGCGGGATTCACGCCATCATAACATGGTGTGGTCTTACCTCCATTCTAAGATGCGATGACAAATGTAATAGAAATGTTGTCTAGTTGTTTTGATATCAAGATGATGAGCAATTATTTTCTGTCCTGAACTTTTGTAAAAAAATTATTGAATTTTTATTAATATAATGGTAATACTTATCATTGACATGATGAAGGTTGAACTCACAATGAATATATGGATATGAAACTCATTACATTTAGTGACTGTCAGGTTTACTTGGTGAATTAACCCATTTTCATTTTATTATATGTAATGGGTGTTTGGAAAGTTGTTATTTTAGTAGGCTATTTTAGTTTTTGGCTATTTTAGTAGGTTAAAATTTTTGTGTTTGGGAAGATAATTCGATTTTTTTATAGTTGTATGTGATGCTTGTGAAAGAAAAAAGTGAAATGATTATGAGTTTGATGTAACATTTTGTCTTATTTATTATTTTAGCTTATTCTATTTTTTAATGTTATTTTAGCCAAAAAAAGCTTCGTCCACTTCAAAATAAAATAATAAAAAAAAAAATTGTGATATTGTACCCTAATTGGTATATCCCCATATTGTTTGATAACAACCGTCATGATCACATTTTTTAATACTCCCTCCGTCCCAAAATATTAGTCTCTTATTCTATTTTTCATTGTTCCAAAATATTAGTCCCTCTACAAAAATCAAGTACAAAAATAATATAAATTTCCTATTTTACCCTTCTTTTAAATTAATAAACAACATAAAAAGTACAATTATGCATTGATACTCCCAAAAAATGTACTATCAAAAGGATAATTTTGGAAAATCAACTTTTTTCAAATGCAATAATTGTACTACCAAAAAAAGTTGGATTTCCCAAAAGGGACCATTATTTTGGGACGGAGGGAGTATTAGTTTAGTATTAAGTTGAAAAAATAAAAAAATCTTACAAAAATAGTCAGATTTATTGCCATTCTATTTATAATTTTGTATGTTTTTCTTTAAAAGGTCAAAAAATCATTTTCAAATACTTGATTTTTTTTTTCATCTCATATTTTAGCTAAAAAATCAATAAAACAATCACTTACTAAACGAACATTTAATTATATTTTATTTATCATCTAAAATGTCATAATTGCATTAGTTAAGTAAGTTGCACTGTTTATGTTTATTTCCAATGTAATTACGATACATGATATGATAAAAACAGTGAAAAATATATGATTAGATTTGGTAAAACACCAAATGACCTCATCCGTAGGGCACCAGCTAGCAAATCCCTACTGGTATCCATAAATTGCTCCATAACTTCTACTTTTCCATGGGAAATGTAAAGCAAACTCCAAATATCCTTCAAATATGCAAGACATGTTATACCATTACTTAACCTTATTAAAGTCATTCAGCACTTGAACACAGCAACAAGTTAGGGCAAAATTCGCTTGATGGTGAAGTCTTTACAGCCTTGGTTAGACTGAATTTTTCAAAGAAACTGCTATGAACAAAACAACCCAACAAAAACAAAAGGATAAAAGGAGGGTCTCTTAATGGAAGATGTCGAGCCAGGAGCACCATCGTACCCTATATAAAATGGTGGATGTAAAAATCAATGGCGGATCGTGTCCTTCAAATTGCACAAACGAAGTTTCAGCATAACATTTCTCTAATTTGGGGCTGTTATAGAATTGATTCAATTATGGAATCATGGATAATTATTGATTCAGTTGGTACATAGTAATCTATACTTCTTTTTCTTCTATATGGCTGGATAGAGCTAAATAGTTGAAAAGAGTTTTGTTAAGTACAAAGCAAGTAAACAGGAACTGCATCAAGGCATAGGATAGAAATGGATTTCCTTTCATCACACAGATCAAGAAACGGCAAAATGAAGACAAAAAAATACCTGGGAAATCAACCGGACGTTGTTTGCAACAAAAACAAGCTCTATTTCTCTTCTGGCATAAGATGATCAAAACAATGTTCCCAAAGACCAAAACAAATTATGCACACAATCATGCTAACAAAGCATATGCATTTACAATGAGCAAAACCATGTGTCTTTACCATTTATTGCACAAACACATACTTGGCTGATGGAGGAGTTTGATATAAACACAAGCTGAGTCTCCACGGGCAGGACTCATTAATCTTACCAAACCTATAGAACGATCCTCTGTGAATTCCATTCAAAACCCATCTCCAAGTATGTCTATTCAACCTAGCTGAGTTTGAACTTTCATAACTACTTACTGTTTTATAATGACCTCGCTGCTATGCTCAGCTCAACCTGATAGTTTCATTTGGGAAGATAACATTTGGGTTCCGAATATGTGGATTAAGCTTAGCCAATTCCTTCCATTTAGCCCCTGTGCCATGAACACGAGCAGAGATGCTCCACAATGTTTCACCAGGCTGGACCTTTGTTGTCGCAGGGGAACCAGATTTGGCAACAGCCTTCGACTTCATAAATGGATGCTTGCTATTCTTCCCCATTCCATTAGCAACCAACCAACGGGACCCAGACTGTTGTTGGGTTGTGGAACCCCAAATCTTCTTTTTCCCCTGTTCTGTTTTCAGACCTGCAACATGAACTTCGGTAATTTTGAATTGAGGAATGCTTTCCTCTTCATGAATTTTCTCTTCTTTGGGCTCCTCCTTTGATTCCTCCTTTTTTGCAGGTTCAGACTCATCATCGTCCTCTTCATTTTTGTTCCTTCTCTCTGAAATGGCACTATATATTTTTGGTTTCGGAGGGACAAACAACCTAACTTCTCTTTCCACTTGAATAAGAGCAAGCATTGGTGTACCAACAGGTTCATAGTTTCGTAAAGGATCACGAAGCTGCACCATTAGCGCCACCGTAAAGTTGTTACCCAACAAACCACACTTTTTACCCCGTCTTTTCTCTGATTTTGTCCTTCCACGAAACACGTCCATGCAAGTAGCATGATGGGCTGCAAGAATTTGAGAAGTCCGCTCACTAATTTGATCATCATCATCATCAATTTCACCAGAATCCAGCCTCATCCATTCATCAAGTGTTAGCGATAAGCCCATTAATCCATCAACACCATCACTGCTGTCTTTAATGTCCAACAGTTGCAATCCACCAGCTCCCTCCAAACCTAAGGACTCACCGATGTTTATCCTTTTCCCTTCAAGGGCCGAGATTTCACCAATGGGCTGTGGATTGATGTTTGAAGGTGCATCCTCATCTGACATGCCGGATTGTATTCTCAACCCCTCAATTGAGAGGGCTTCAATCTTATCCATTGCCAAAGGAGCAAGATCTTCAAGTGATACATATTCCGAGTCCAACTGCTTGCCAATTGAACTCGAGTCAGCCTTAGACGATTTTCCTTTAACTCTCTTTTGACCTCCAGCTATACTTTGCCCAACCTCCATTTCATGCTGCAATAGAACTTGCCTGCAACAAGAGAGAATAATTACCACCCCTACAAGTACAGAATACTTAAAGCACTATAAACAATGAAACAAAAGTTAGTCACAAACCTCTCGGATGCCTCCAGACTGCTCGAAGCTTCCCATGCTATTTGTTGCATTGTCTTCCCAGTAATATCTTCCAATGGCATTAACTTGTTTGCCTGCATGGAAAGCTTTTCGATTCCAACCGAAGCCAAACGCTGTAATATCTCCATTATACCAGAACCCATCTCTGCAGGCACCACGACTGGACTTGAAACTTGCATAATCAAACTACCACAACTTTTAGCAGTGCTGAAAAGTGTAGGATTCATAGACCGCAAAAAACCTCCATTTGTGGTCTGAACAAATGGACCTAAGCCTTCTCCAAGGGGAGGCAACTGGAGAGGCTCTTCAGGAGAAAGATCAATGGGACTACCAAAACCACTGTTAGAAGGAGAATGTTGAAAAGCCTTCTCATTTAACCCCCACTCGCGCATTAAAGCTTCAGTCTCCAAGTCTTCCAGCATTGACGCCCTAGTTTTGCTCCTCACTGCCAGAGTTTCTAACTCAAGCTTCTCATCTGCAGCTTGAACCACTGGAGAGAGATTGAAGTCCTCATTAAGGGTCCCCCATCCAGACACCGATGGAGCTTCATAGCCAAGTTCTTCCTGGTTCCCATCGTCAATATCAAAATCGAATAAGGAGAAACCCGCAGCTAGGGTATCCTTCTCGAATTGTCTCAAAAGACGCTCTCTTGGGGACTCAGGCTCACTTTCAGAACTCAAGCCCATTGGACTATGTTCTATCCCCAGCATCTCTAAGAACTCGCTAGCTACTGAGTTGGTAACATCATCCAAGCTAAGTGACTTTCCCTTTCTACCTATTTTATAGTTTGATTTAACCCCCACAAAATTTTCGTGTTGTGGAATTTCACTCTCACGTTCTGGAGAATCCAACCCGATTGCCACGTCTGACATATTATGCAAAGCTGACTCCAGATCTTTCATGAGCAATTCTTTGGTGCACATGTCATTCTCTGCGGAAATGCGGTCGCTTACAACAAATTCATCTCTATGACTACCACCTTCTTCATCCTGGAGATGAAGCTTGGTGTCCTCTTCAAGTGTTATCGCAGCAGCAGTGTCGATTTTTGGAAGGTCAGAACTTTCTATTTCAGAACCATCAACAGCAGTTAAGGTATTGCCTTCTGATTTCACCCGTTCCTTTGAGGACAATTCTATCCCATGCTCAATGACAGAAAACTCACCATCTTCGCCCTCATTTTCAGCATTCTCCTTACCAGCATCAAACAACAAGTCGGTGTTTGATTTGACAGGCTCAAGAAGCCCAGAAGAAACATCAAGCTCAGGTTTATAATCAACACTCATACCTAACTTCTCTTCATCAAATTTCTTATATAGTATACTTACAGAATTGGAAAGTTCTGAACTTGATATTGGAAAAACCTCATGAAGATCCTTTATATCTTCTACAGAACGAGATAAGGCCAAAGACATTGAGGGAACACTTCCAGCACGCTTTATTGTATTGCTTTGATCAATTTTTGACATAGGTTTGACCACACTTGTGTTATTCCGCTTCAAACCAAAGGCCTCCGGAACATCCCTGTTAGCAGCAGGAGGAACAGCATTACTCCCAATTACTGAATACCCAAAACTGACATTCATAGTTGCACCTTTAGCCATGCCTGATAGCTTGAAACTAGTCGTCCACTTTCCAGAGCTCTTCTCATCCTCCAGCTCCTCCAAAGTAAGAGGAAGCAACCTCGTGAGATCAACCCGATGCTTTCCCAAATCAAGCTCAGAAGCACCATATACTGCTGCGTATAACAAGAAATGCTTTGCCTCATACTTTGCTGAATGGTGAGGACCATTTCTACTGCCATAAATAGAGCATGAATGTGCCAAGTTTTCTTCAAATTCAGCTATTCCTTGAAAAACCCTAGCCGGACGAGTCGCCAACCCACTGTCCCGCCGCTTCCAATGCACGCAAAGGTTAAGATCATCGAAATGAGATGGCAACCCTTCAACAGAATGGACATGGAGAGAGAAACAGCAATTGAACCTACGGTTTCTGACATGGGTAAGAGCCTTCAAGGCCTTCCAACTCCAAATGGACTTCTTGTCCTTACGTAATGACTCTTCATTACCATCCTTCAGCTTCAATTGGGGTTCAGCCAGATGGGCTTTTCCAACAGATTTAGATCGATTATTCAGGGTAGAAGCAGAGCCCTTTGAACGGGTTCTATCTAGGTATAGGGCTTTACTTATAACTTCAATATCATGTAACAACTTCCCACTACCCGATTCCCCACCAATTTTTTTCCCAGCTTCAGCTTTAGACAACATCTTCTAGCAAAACAAAATTATCATACACAACAAATCAGATTCAACACAACCCTAGATTACTTAGAAACACTAATTCATTGAAAATTCGCTCTAATTGTTCATGAAGGTACATAGAAATAGGGTGTGTATATATATGCAATTGAATTACATAACCTAGATGGTTTCTATATCTATGAAACTAAAACCAGTAATCAATCCGTAATTCCAGGAAAAATAAAAGGGTTTTAGGCTTACCTGGATTGGAATCCGTGGGCACAGAACAGGAAAACCCTAGATCATCGTCACTATTTCTGCAACATTTCCAATTGAAAAAAAAAAAATTCCAAAAATCATACACTATATGTACAAACTCACATATATAGATAGTTGATTATAGTACAAAAAAGGCGAAGAAGATATAGAAATCTTACGAGTGACGATGTTGAGGCCAGAGATTCCTCCCCTGATTGTCTCCAGCTCTCTCTCTCTCTCTCTCCTCTGTCTTCTCTCTCTCTCTCTCTCTAAAACTTTCTCTCTCTATTTTGGCGTGACAAATGCCTGATTCAAAGTTTGAACTAAAAATAGTGTAGAAAATATATATACGGTGATTTTTTAGTACTACCCTGTGTTTTTGAAAATAGTCACTTTCTACCATATATTCTTTGTATTTTGTGTAATTTACCCAAGTATTTTCCAGTTCTTTCTAATATGCCCTTGTCTACTTTTTTTTTTTTAGGTTTCTATTTTTTTTCTTTAAAAATATAAAATTCATAACTCTATCTTAATCAAATCAACTAAAGATTCAACAACCTATTGAATTTGATTATACATTTTTTCTTCTGACTCAGCTTATTTGGTTTGGATTTTCAATATTCATTTTTCAGAAAATTGAAATATTTTATTTTTTGTATTTTTTTGTTTTCACTGAATTTTTTAATATTCTAAGCGATTTTTTTTTTAATTTTTAGATACACCTAATATAAATACACTTAAAAAGTATAGTATTTGTAAATTTTTTTTAGAAAATTCATTAAATATCAAAAATACAAAAAAAAATATGAGAATTTAGTATATTTTTTATATTCTTGTATATTTATTAATTTTTTAAAATATTTTTTTACAAATATTTTACTTTTTAGATATATCTAAGTAAGGTGCATCTAAAAAACATAAAAAAATTGTTTAAAATTTAAAAAATATTCACTAAAAATAAAAAAAAATAAAAAAATAAACTCAATTTTTAAAAAATTGAACCAAACACATTGATTCTTTTTTGGGATAAAATTTTTAAACATAAAGTTTGATAGCCTAATCAATTCAAACTCATATGATGTCATTTATTTGTACATTTTCTATTTTTTTTTTTCAAGTGAGGCAAGAACAATAATTTCAGCATTCTTATTGCATCAAAAACAAATATGTTGTTAAGAAATTAATACACATTAGGCTAGTTTTGAAAGTTGCTTTCTTAGGTGTTAAAAGTATCTAAAAGGTAAATACAAATGAATATTAATTGAAAATAATAACTAAGTGCCATTTTGGGAACATAGTAAAAAGTCACGTTTTTGGACAAAATGTTCAAAAATGTGGCTGCCAAAAACGCAGTCCAAAAATTACAAATTAGGGCCTATGAAAAAAAATAAAAAAATAAATCTCTTATGTTGGGTAAGGGTATTTTGGTTATTTTAATTTGATTTGACACTATAAATAAATATTAAACTAAAAAGCAAAAAGTCAACTTTTTACCAACTTCCCAAATCACTTCCAAAAAAGTCAAAAAACTTGGTAAAAAGCCAAAAGCTAATTTTTATCAACTTCCCAAACAACCCTAAGAATATGTAAAAAGTACTGAAAAAAAAAACCAATAAAGACTAAAAATAAGTTCCAAACAACTTTGGTACGTTACCATTGAGGGTGGTGGTGGAGTGGAAAGGTGCATTCCTTCTACACAAATGAGTAAAGCTCGACTCTTAAGGGTGCGACTAACGGCCTGTTTTTCAAACGTTAAAACTAATTGTGTTGTACTTTGATTATGACTCTGCCTCTTATGTTGGAGGTTGATACATTCCTCCCTTACCCCGGTAATAAGTCCCTTCCTTTGAGTTGAGATAAGTCTAACCTAAATACCGGCGCCTAAGGGTTGCAATGATCCCACCAATAAGAGTAAAACAACTTGTGGCATTAATTAAATCATGTATCCATCATTCCTTGGCAAAGTATACGAGTAAAACATGTGTTTATTAGTAAAAAATAATGAGGTCCACAATTTTAATAGAGATTACTACGTTTTTCGAAAATGGAATTCACTATTTTTGGATCAATGAGAAAATATGCTTTGTTCATATACTTCGACGATAATGCAAGGAAAGCACGTCTGTGTTTCATGATTGGGAGGCTTCTTCATGTTATGCACATGAATGGTGATACCAACCCTTAACCTATGTAATGTCAACTAAAAAAATAAAAATAAATAAATAAATAATAATACTAATAGTAACATATAAAAATAAAGGACAGTTTTTTTTTTTTTTTTTCGTATAAGTTTTGCTATTTTGCTTACAATTAAGGCACTTAGCAAGGTGCATTGAAAGAGTTTGATGATTTTCTTGCGAGTGATCAAAAAATCTTTTTAGTTTTTAGTAGTTAGTATGAGTATGAACATGGCAACCTTTTAAGACTAACCACCTCAAATTGCTTTCATCTTAGAAAAATGCAATATTTTGAGAACAAAGTTGAATTATATGTAGTTTTTAGAACAAAGTTGAACAAAGTCATATTTCTAACAAGAATTTCTCACGACTAGATTCATAGAAGTCCACATTAATAAATACATATAGATTTTATTATATTTGCATTTAGCGTTTTTAAAAAATATATATTTTATGTGCCCTTAAAATGTATATTAAGAAACTTAAATGTATCATACAATTCTGCATAAAAATGAATGTAATAAAGAATGTACAATTTTAAGCATACTTAACTTGTGCCCTTAAGGCACACATTAACAAGATCAATAATAATAATAATAATTATCTATGAGACATTATTTATTTTAGAAACTAACCAATATCCAATGCAAAGTCAATTACAATTGTACCCGCTAAAATCAATTAATAATATTCTTAAATTTCTCCTTTGCTTTTAAAGAATGCAAGTTACCATCAATTCAAGATTAGAATAGTTTGAAGAGTTCCTAAATTCTAATGTGCTCTAAAGACTATATAATATATTTTGTTTTTCCTTTGTTTCTAATCTAATTTATTCTTGTTCTTTGCTTAGTTGTCAATATTGGGAAGATTCTATAGTGGATCTAATCCCTTAAAAAAGTTGTCAATTTTTTTGTTTAAAATAATATTATACAAATTAATAAAATTGATATTTGTTAATGAAACTTTAGTATTTATGAGAGGAATTTATGTGTAGATCCTAATAGGTGGAGTTATTGTTCAATAGATTCTGTAAGAATTAATGACTTTTTTTTATCAAACACTATTAAAAAAATCACTAATTGTTAATTTTTAGCGACAGTTTGAAAATTTTGTCACAAAAATATAAATTTTAGTGACAATTTCAAAAAATCGTCACAAATAAAATTCACTAATTTTCAACTTTCAACAACAGTTTGAAAAATTCATCACAGAAAAATATCATTATTGTAAATTGTAGCGACATTTTATAAAAATTGTGACAAAAAAAATCACTAATTGTCAATTTTTAGCAACATGTAAAAAATTATCACAAAAAATATTTTTAGCAATAATTTTATTAGGACTTATTTTTAATATGACTTGTTCGAAATTAAATTCTATTAAGATCTATTGATAATTTACCCTATTTAAAATTGGGTGAAGCACCAATAAATCCCAAAATGTGATCTTATGAACGGTTTAATCTTTCATCTTTTTTTTTTAAACCCAAAGGTCCCATTAAAGTGAAAATTACATGAAAAAGGTAGTCACTTACATGTTTAGATTTAATTTTTTAAGGATAAAAGTGATTTTCTCAAAATGTAAAATTACATTTGGGCAATTTGAATTATAGAAGTTTTAGATTTTCTCTCATTCTAGAACAAATTCCACGTTATGAACAAAAGCCTAACATTTTAACGTAATACTTCCATGTAATACACTAAACTCATTGGTGCAATTTTTCCAAACATAACAACGTAACACCAAAAAATTCTTTGGTGTATCCCAAACGTAATGCTCCAATGTAAAAAAAATATATAAAAACAATTTTCTTAGTGTACTTTTCCTTAACGTAACACTTCAATCAGTGTAATCCCAAATGTAATACTCCAATGTAACATACTCTAATGTAACATACAAAAACACTAAAAAACTCCTTAATGTACTTTTTTTTTTTCAAACGTAACACTCACAGTTTGAAATTATAAATTTGTTTAAAACTTATTAAGGAATATTTGTACTCCTTTTGGAATGGTTTGAAAAATCTTTTTTTTTTTTAATGTTATGTTTAGAAAAAGTATACTAAAAAGTTTTTATTTTTTTTATGTTACATTGGAGCGTTACTTTTGAAAAAAGTACGCCAAATAATTTTTTTGTATGTTACATTAAAGTGTTAAATAAGTGTTATATTGAAGTGTTACGTTTAGAAAAAGTACACTAAAGATTTTGTTTGTGTGTTACATTAAAATGTTACACTAAGGAGTTGTTGTGTGTTATATTAGAGTATTACACTAAGGATTATTTTAGAGTATTATATTAGAGTGTTACATTTAGAAAAAGTACATTGAGAATTTTTTTTTGTATGTTACATTGGAGTGTTACACTAAGGAGTTTTTGTGTGTTTTACATTAGAGTGTTATATTAAGGAGTTTTGTTGTGTGTTATATTAGAGTGTTATGCTTGGAAAAAATACACTAAGGCTTCGTTTGAGAACAAGCTAATTTAGTAACTTTTTGGCTATTTGGTTAAAATATAAGTACTAAAAAAAATTAGTATGTTTGGGATATTTTTTGACTTTTTACGAAAAGATGTGCAAAAAGTAGAGAGAAAATAGAATCTTTGACATTTTGGTATGGGTTGTTAGCTTTTTGGCTAATAGTAACTTTTTGACTTTTTAGCTAAAAAGGAGGGTTTCCAAAAAGTTACTAAATTAGCCAAAAAGCCAACAACCCCTACCAAAAAGTCAAAGATTCTCTTTTCTCTCTGCTTTTTGCACATTTTTTCGTAAAAAGTCAAAAAATATTCCAAATATACTAATTTTTTTTAGCTCATATTTTAGCCAAATAGCCAAAAAGTTACTAAATTAGCCTGTTCCCAAACGAAGCCTAAGGAGTTTTTTTGTGTGTTACGTTAGAGTATTACAATAATAATTTTTTGTGTGTGTTACTTTAGACTGTTACACTAAAGAGTATTTTTGGAATGTTATATTGAAGTGTTACGTTTGAGAAAACTATAGTAAAGAGTTTTTTATGTGTTACATTAGTGTTATGTTTGTATGTTAATTAATATCAATGTTATAATATCAATGTTACAATAGGGACAAACACCATAAAAAGGAACAAACACCACACCAATAACACCACAAATAGGGTAACATC